AACGCTTTTCCTGTCCATATAGATGGAAATAGTCTTGTTGGTGACCTCAAGGAGGTAATAAAAGCGAAAAAAGCACCAGTATTCGATAATTTTCTTGCAGGCTATGGAAATTGGTGGCGATCACCTTGACGATCAGTTGAAGAATCTCAAATTTAATGACAGTGACTAGCTGTTGGCGATGAGAAAAATTCCGAAGTATTTCCCTGACCCACCAGTCGAGGAACATATTCACGTCCTAGTTGAACCACCACCTGTGTCAACTTCTGCTTCGGGCGAGGTATTAGAATTAAGGAAGCAACTCGCTTTGATGCAGGAATTACTCAACAAGTCCGTGTATGGTACGTATAAAGTGGCTAGGAGAGTTAATAGGCTTCGCGAAAGGTTTACTAACCCGGTTCTTGCATTACAGTGTTTGACGTTGTTGTTAAGCCCAAACGGGTTAAAACCTTCAAGTGGACAGTGAATATCGAACACGCGACCCTCGAAGGCCTTAAAAATTTCATACGTGGAGCGTGTCCAACACCAGCACTTGAGAATGATGGAGCGGTACTCAACATATTAAATGACGAGGGAAAATACTTTCCTGTGAATGATCAAGACCTTCGTGAATTGCTTCAAGTGTTCGTGTCAAAAAACAATCTTAAGTTTACCGTGATCGTAGAGACTCCCTCGAAACCCTTCAACGAATGGACCTTTCCGAAAGTGTGTGAACTCTACGGTCTTAGCGATGACCCGAATCCTAGTACTGACGTGTATCCCATTTTTCACTGTGGTTGTGTTGACACCAAGAATGAGAAATACAAAGCAGCGTTGCGTAAACTTTTTGATGAACTGGAGACTCGTGTTGCAACAACACCTATCGACTTATCATATGAGGCCACCAAAAGCATCTATTCATATACTTATCTCGCCTCCGCAACATACCCATTTAAAGATCAAGTAAAGATCGTTCCGGAGAGTTTGATCGAGGGAAAAAATGGCGTGGGAATCTTGACTATGGTGAATCACGTACAACCGGGAGAATCATGGGTTTGATCGAGGTGACTTTAAGCAGGGCTTCGCACAAACTACTGTACAGTTGGCATCATCGCTAGGTCATAAGCGCAAAGCAGACGAAATAGATGATGAACCTGGGTTTAACAAAGTATGGGGGATTGTGACGGATGCAGAAAAATGGTATTTCACGAAATGTTCGCAAGACGATGAAGGGAAACTATCGTTTAAGTTGACGAAGCTGCCTTTATTTGTTGCGTACAAAGATAAGGATATGAAGGAGAGAGCAGAGAAGATTCTTGGACATATTATTTGGTTGTTGGAGGAGTCACAAAAGGCGGATTTAGATAAAGAAAGGGAAGTAAAAAAGTATGGGTCATCGAGTAATCTTGCGGGGAAATTAGATACAGTAGATAGGTCTTAGGATAGAGAATTCGTCATCTATTACGGGTAAAGTCCTGAATCTTTGTATTTATTTTACTTCGTATTTCTACCGCCTGTATAATGGGATGCGTCCTGAACATTGTATTTATTTTTTATCTGTATTAATAAAAATTTATTATTACGATCATACACATGAAAACACGCACACACGCAAAAGAAATAAAGCTTTTTATTATATTTTTGTAAAATAATATATCCGATTCATATCAATCACGGGATTTGGACGAACTAATACTATAGATACCGGATTATATCATCGAAATGAGTGTTGATTAAATGAAAAAAAAAAACTCTTTCTTAAAAAAAAATTTTTTCACAAAATACTAAGAAAAATTTACGTATAAGAAATGGGTAAAAGTAATAAAAAGAAATCTTCACAACAGTCTATACCCGTCCAAGAGTTCATTGACTCCTTCACCAACTCGTTTGCTTCTATATTAGGGGACATAATATTTGATTACATACAGTGTGGTGATGTAGAGTCTGTATTTTATACGACTGCAACTGCTAAACTCATTCCAAAAGGCGACATAGTCACAGAGCGGTCTATACTGGATAATGTAAGAGTTACTAAACAGTTTACGAGAACATTAAATCAAGCAATAATCTCAGGAGCACGCTGCAAAGCTCGACAAACGCTGGATAGTTTAAGCTCACGTTACCAAAATGCTCTTCCTTCACTCGTTCAAAATGCTGTCGAGGCGCAGCTAAAAAAAAAGGAGAAGAAGGTCGGCAAACAAAAAGCGCCTGTATCAGATGACGCAGACGCCAATCTTGTGATCGACGAATCCATGAACATAGATGACAATGTAGATCCGGATACAACCGAGTCCCAACCAAATCAGGAAGGTTCATCCAATGTTGATCAACCATCTACATCTATATCTAAGCCGATTGGTTCTAAGATTCCGAAAAATGTAACAACTTCGGAATCACAAATTACAAAAGGCAAGATCACTAAGTTGACTATCAATAACAACGTAATACATAATTCGCAAAAAGGTCAAGTGCGAACTATAATGGTTTACGACATACCTGCGGCCTGGTCACATGATGCAATCCTGGAACATCTAAAATCATGGGGCCAAGTATTGGAAATATCCTTTAAGACACAACACAAGTATCAGTCCGTTTGGACTAAAATGATACTCAAACCAACCACAGACACGGACTTTGTTATGAGAACGTGGCAACAAAAATTGGGTGATGGTCTTGTCCGCTGGTATCCTGGACATTGGAAATTAAGAGAACGTAAGGCTCGGGAACGTTTTCAAGTAAAATTTTCTCTTCTGGAAGACTGGAAGTCTAATCCGTTAGCATTCAGTTACCACGATGATAAATCCTTCGAACATATATTGAGTCATGAATTGAAGGGTCGCGCTTTTATTCACTTAAAGGTGCATGGGAAACAACAGTTGATCGCTTACTTTGAGACGCACGAACACCTGCTTAGATGCATGGAATTTAGCCATCATTGGAAGCCGACCATTTCAACTCCTCCCACAAAAAAAATTCCACCAAAGTCCAACAAGGACAAAAAATCTTATTCACAGCAAAGTAAAGGGAAGAATTTGGGCAAATCGCTCAGTTCCTTGACTCGTTCGCGCAACAAATCCAATACTCAACAAAAGACTGATGACACGCGTTCTTTACTCTTAAAACTCCTGAACCTTTTGGTTTGAGGTCGTGAATAATCAAATCCTAAATAGCATAGAATAAGTGGCTTTAACTGTATTACAGTCATAACATTTTTTTTTTTAGGCGAAATCAGTGGCGCTTATTTCTTTTGTAGGACCCATGAAAGAAGTTAATTGGTGTTTAAGGTGATTTAGGTGGATCGGTAGGAAGGTGTTTTTCTATTTTTGTTTACTTTTTTTTCTTTTTTCTCTTTCTTTTTTTCTTTCTTCTCGGTGTCTTTGGTTTTTTTTTAGCTTCCGCTTTTTTTCCATCCCCCTTTTATTAGTCATATTCCTGGTCCCAGTTCGTTGTTTTTATTCATTTTATTTTTTTAAATAAGGGCTGTAACGTAGTTTTCCAGTTCCTATTAGTGCCCTAACTTAGATAGGTCCCGTAGGGGATGCTAATTGTTATGACATCCAATTTTTAGTTTTATTTTTATAATTCTATTCTTTGTAATCTAACATCTACTATCTTCGATCGTAAAATAAAATAAAATAAATAATAAAATCAAAATGAGTGTTCTTCCATTATTTTATAATATTTCCGAAGAAGAATACTCCAGGTACTTGAGCTATGGAAACAGAAAATGGCTTAAATCATGGCGGGATACACGCTTCGATAGACAAAAGGCACTTTATTAAGCAACCCGGTTATGTAAACGAAAGTGCTATATAAACTTTTTTTATTAATTATTGATACAATTTTTATTGAGACAGAAGTATACTATTAACTCTATATATAAAACAAATAAGTAAAATGTTATAATGTTATAATGTGATATGCAGTGTCACTCGTGATGTCATTGATTATCATATTTATCAATGATTCACCGCAAAGAACCATCTCAAGCCATCTCAAATAACTCCGAAACAATGATTAATAGTAAGTGATATATATAAACATTGATTTCTTATAAAATCTCGGTTAATATTTAAAAAAAAGTCGTGTCATAAATAAACTGAAAAAATGACTTTCGCAAGTTCATTTTCATATCTAAATAACACTATTTACGGAATAAACATAAACGCCAACCTCGACATGAGGCTCGAAAATATTCCAGGAGCGGCTGGAATCGCCAAAGTTTATTTTACTGACTCATCTGTAAATTTTCAACTTATCTTTATAAAACTGCATAATAAAAATCTATAAATTCATATTATGTTTGTTATTTTATTTGTTACTTTATCAATTACCTCCGGCATTATTTAATATTGTTGATTCTGCAGGCAATAATGCAGCGATACAGAATCTTAATGGGGTAGTATGCTATCTCATTCATCAAAATATGGGATACACGATGAGTTTGCGTGGGCAAGTTATTTTCTCTCTTAGGACGCAAGTTCAAGAATGCATGATCACCGCTCCTGGAATCACACATTTTACAATTTAATTTTCTTAAAAATTTTTATTTTTTATCATTTTTTTATTATTTTTTATTATTTTTATTATTAATATTTGCTGATAAATAAAATTAATTGAATATATATTCTTTATTATATTTTTCGTAAGTTAATATATTGGAGTAAGGAATTATAAGTTTAAAGGAAATTATTAATAGAGTAGCAGGTGTTTCAAGGGTGGAATAAAACATAGAATATGCCTGCCCGCCCCTAGACGTTTGCAAAAGCAATAATGGCAGTTTCTTCCTGCTACACCATGCTAACTATATCATCATTGTCAATGCTATTGCTGTGATGATAGAAACTGGCTAATGTGCCAGGACTAAATCTGATCTCATCAGATAATATATTATACATTTATGTAGGAGAGCAATTACCTTTTTTTCTTTTCTGGTCAAAAATGACAATGAATTTGACCCAATACATTTCTATTTTGTCTTCATATTTAGTACTAGTGGATAGTATATGACTTGCAGAAGAGAATCAGTTTGATCCTACTAGAAGGAATGAGGCACAGGTTATTATGTAATGTTATGGGCAATGAATCATATGTGGACTACAGATTGCAGACTGTGGACTGCAGACTGTGGCATGATAGACTTACCTTGTAATATTGCATTATTCTTCCATTTAATTTCAGTGCGCATTCTTTGAATTTCATTATTTAATGCTAGGACTGTTCTTTCAAGTTCATTATTTATCCTAGGCTGAGATTTACGAAAAAAAGCTAATGCAACTGCTACAACTGCATATGATATTATGTTTCCTGAAAATACATTCTGGATCACATCCATTGTTAAGATGTTTTAGATAGGTAAGCATCTCATATAATGTAACGATGGAAATGAAGAGTGAAATCAAAAAAATGTCACATCTATTCATATTATTTGTAGTTTGTAAAATTGTTTCAAAACAGTATGCAGGCTAATGGTATATCACTGGAACTTTTAAGATAATAACAATTAAAGGTCTTTATCTGTTGAAGGCAAGGCCCTTTTATACTTTATTAATAATGTGTGGAAAATTGGGATAGATGAATCACTTATTTTACCACTGTTCATGCCTTACCAAAATTGGTAGAATGAGTAACTATATGTGTATTCAATCCAGATTATGTATATAGGTTAACGACTCCTTGAGTGAGCAACAAATTTGCAAATAAAAGTATTGGTGTCTATTGAAATTGTAAGGCGCTTGTGGTAGACATGTTCTATCAGAAGTCAATAATTGGCAAATCATCATCCAATAGTGGCCAACTGACTTCTGAATACAGAATTATTGGATGTCTGTTAGGAACATGTCTGTAGGAAACATAAGGTACCTGTGATAGACTGTGTTCTATTAAAAGCCAATAATAGCCAATAATTGCAAGTTATCATTCATTGGTAGCTGGCCTTGAGTAAACAACAGCATATTTCAAATGTGGCTATCAACTGGCTTTTATTAAATAATGTACTCTATACCATTTTTTGTTAATTTTTATTAATCAAGATATTGAATACATGTAAAAATAAAATAACAAAACATCAATTAAATATTTGATAATAATAACCCTACTCCAATAGATTTTTTCACTTTACTATTCAACCAACATATATATAAGGTTCATGTAATTGAAAGTATAGAAAAGATCCAGATAGAATATCAAAACTAAAAAATTTCAAAGAAACTGCCAATGTTTGTATTCAAATGTTTTTGCTTAAACATATTGAAAAAATAACACCTTAACATCTGTTTTTTTTTTCACAAAATAGTATAATTCTGATTGGAATGTATGGCTGATAGAGAAAAAAGAGGTATGTTTGACTATAAGCCTTTAATAGGTTCACAGTTAATCATTATATATTTCTAACAACAGAGGTTGATTCATGACAAGTCAATTAAAGAGCAAGATGATGACAATAAAATCAATGAAGATATAGAAATAATTGGAGAGAGTCCATATTCATCTAACTATATATCATTAAACAAATCTTGTTTAGAATAACAAACATCAGATTCATTCTTATTATCTCTTCTGAAAAAGTATTGTGCAAAAGAAACAACATCACTTTATGAGTAAGTCATAATAATGGTTATGATATTTTGACTACCACTCACTTTCTATTTATATTATATTTTTTTTTTAGTCCAGCCCACAGCTATATTATAGATTTTTTTTCATCATCAAAAATAAAGTATGAATTCACTAATAATCAGTTGAAAAAATTAATTGAAAGAAGGCCTAATGCTGTCCAGAAGACTTATCATCATGAAATTGTGCCCCTTATTAATCATTTATTTAACCAGAAAAGTAAGTATTTGTGCATTAGAAAGGTTAAGAAAGTAAACTGGTCTTATTATTTATTTTCTTTGTTTTAGATTAATATATCACAAGCTCTGCTTCCACATACAATGATGAGTTCTCATACTCAGAAAGGATTGGGAAAAAATAAAGTATGGATAAAGCAGGTAATAGGGCAATTGTACTTATCATCTATCATGCAGTATGATTATTATGTTATATAATTAGCTCTTTTTGTTTATTATTATAGCCTGGGTACATTTGAGTTTCCATAATCCACTTCAAACCAGTTACCATAAGTGAAAGCAGACTAGCAAAGCATTCCATTAATTCAAGATGTATTAAAGCTAGATGGAAATTGTTATGTTTCATGAATCTCCATTTATTGTACATGTATATATATATGTATGAATTTTCCCATTTCAAATTTTGTTAAAAGGTGAAATTTCCATCTTTGCTATCTGATGTCAGAGAAATGTTGATAATAATGTGCTCACTGAAGTAGTCATGAAAAGTCACCAAGTTGATATCTTATGTAACTATGAGCAATACAAGGTTGCTTGTATGCTGGCTAGTAGAGGTTTGTATTTTTATAGCCTAACAAAACTTGCCTCTGATGAATACCTTTGCAGAAACCCGTGATTTGTTACCATGCAGTTAAGAAATCGCCATCAAATCATGACGATCTATTATCCAACATGTGACGATGTGGTATCAAACGATCTTGTGAAATTGTCGATAACATATCTTTACGAAATTGTAAAATGCTATTAAATAGGTGGTAAATAGGCGGTGAATAGGTGGTAAATAGATGGTAATTGTCATCAAAATTTAGCCGAAAAAATCAATTCAAGATATTTTTTCGATGCATTAAATATTACTTGACAATGAATCACAATTTTAATTATTTAATTATTTTTTTTTTTAATCAATTTAACTTTAATAAATTATAAAAAATATCATTTTGTAAAATTAATAAGATATAAAAAATCTGTTATGTCTTGTATACGTTTGGCATACGTTTTTATAGATTCCGTATAACAATTCCATATGTTTAATATGTAATTCATTTTTAATCTTTTTTGGATAATAATTTATCGTCATTGCGTATCATAACACGCGATCATGTGATTGATTGTTTTTTTTGTGATACGTTTTTTAGTATATGATTTTGATCTTCCTTCCTTTCCTTATTTTGTCACTCTCTTTTTTCTTTATTTATCATTTTCTTTTTTTTATTCCCCCTTTCTTTTCTTATTTTCTAGCTTCGTCGCCCTTTAAAAATTGTTTTTTTGATTTATTTTCCACTCGCTACCTTTTTTTTTAAAAAAAATCTTCTTTCTTCTTTTCATTTGGCTCCCCATTTATAAAAAAAATTTCTTCTAACTTTACTCATCATCCTTTTATTTTTCCTAACTTTGTTACCCTCCTTTTTTAAAAAAAAATTTTTTTTCTTATTCCCCTTTTTTAGGCTTTTTAACATTCTTTTATTTTATATTTTATTCATTTTTTTGTCGGTTGATTCTTCTTTGTGAGTCAATTCTTTTTCATGAGTCAGTTCTTTTAACGTGAGTCAATTATTTTTATGTAGATTAATTCTTTTTACGTGGGTTGTTTCTTTTTTATAGGTTGTTCTTTTCATGGGTCAATTCTTTTTACGTGGGTTGTTTCTTTTCGTGGGTTATTTCTTTTCGTGGGTTGTTTCTTTTCGTGGTCAATTCTTTTTTGTAGGTCAATTCTTTTTCATGCATGGGTTGCTTCTTTTTGTAAATTGTTTCTTTTTTGTGGGTCTTTCTGTTACTCCAAACTTTAGAAATGCCAACTCTTGAAGATTTGGATCATGATTACAGGGGAAGTTTGGCTTCCAATTGACATTCTTATGTTACTTTTTTTTTTTGTTTTTTAGGTTGTTAGATTCTAGAAGACTTGGATGAATCTAGACTTATAGGTAGTTAGGAGAAGTGGGTTTAACTACTAGAAAATTCAAAGTTTCTTTTTGTTTAGTTTGCAATAGTTAGGAAAGAACTTTTCATAATATATTTGTATTTTATTTTATTTTTATATTTATTTGTAATATAACTAGCAATAAAACTACGTAAATTTTGTGACCAAATTACATTACAAATCAGTGTTATCAGTTATATCATTAATATAACATGATAAACATTTTTTGCAATATTTTTGCAAAATAAAAAGCGTATAAATATATCTTTCTCCACAATAAATACAATTATAGTGTAAATTTTAATCAAAGTTAAATTTTATATTTAAATTTTAAACAGAAGTTAAATTTTAATTACACATTTAGTAAATAGAAAGTTTAATAAGTTTAATTTTAAATTATACTTATATTGTAAATTTAATCCAAAGTTAAATTTTAAATTACGTGTTTACATGTTTAGTGATAACTTTATCGAAAGTTAAATTCTCTTCAAAAACTAATTTGTTACAATAACAATAATTTTATCTTTTACGTAGTTACATTTTACTTTGAAAAAATGTTTCAAAGTCATTATGCTTCTAACATTAGTTAACGCAATTATATTAATCTACTCACTTTTCACTCACCATCTTTTCTTGAACTGTTTTCTCTTTTGGACTCTTTAACGCCACTTATTATTTATATTCATCCCATCTCGTTCCCTGCACTCTCTTTTCAAAATCCACAATAAGCTGCATATACTTTTGTATCACATCATGTTTCTGCCTCTTTAATCAATTTTTCTCGAAGCTTAATCACGGATTCTAGAGATTTAATCTTCATTGTTGCCTCTTCCACCTTCATCTGATTTTTGATCTTCTCCCATTCCATTTCTTCTCCAGCCATCATGAAAATCTCTGCTAATTCCTTAACCTTAGGACTAATAACCCTCATTTTGTCCATTAAACTTCAAAATGGTGAAGCAACGAATGATTGGTATGGAACTAACAATTTTTGTTCCTTCTTTTGTTCGTTGATGATATTCACCAATTCTTCCATTGAAACATTATCTTTCTTCAATGCTTCTTCCTTTACCAATTTTCTTTTAAAGTCGATTACATCCAAACCTCTTGTTAATCGTATTTACCACTTTATCCTCAGATACTGTCATCGATCATTCCACATCATTCACTGGATCTCCATCCTTGAATTTATCTCTTTCCTGATACTTATTAATTCCATATAATTCTGCAAAAATTCTTTGAGATGGAGTTTTCAAAAGGTTTGCATGATGTGTCACTTCTGGCGTATGCAGAATCGGCTTTGTATCATGCTTCTTTGTATCTTGCCTCTCCTCTTTCTTGCTTCTTATCAGTTCCCTGAATTGCCAAATGTCCCATTCTTTAATCCATTCTCTATAGTCTGCTTCGTGTCTTTTTGTCCTTTAAGAATAATAATACTTTCCAATTTTTGGTATTCACAGAACTTTAATAAAGGATGCTGAGTTTTCCTTTTGTGCCTTTAATATCAAGTTATACTCATCATTTTTATGCTCGTCCGCCATAATTGCCATTTGTCTCTTTCCTTCCTTTCCTTGATATTCATTAAACCATTATACCATCTAACAAATCTTTTACTTTTTGGTAGCACTATACCGCGCAGCCATTTTTGTGCATGGATGACCATGTATCCATCAACAATATCAGTGCTTTTACAGTTGTATACTTAAACTGTTTTTTGATTTGTACACAGTAAACCTTTCCTAACTCTGATATGATATGATGTCATCATCTTTTCAAAACACTGGTATATCATAGAATAACTTCTCCTCTAATTTGCTTTTTATGGCATATTGCATTATCTAGCTGCTTTACCATTCATTCTTTATTTCTGATGACACCTTCCTGTTCCGCTATAGTCCTATTCAGCTCACGTGACCGTGTGTTTCTCGCAAATTAGTTCTTGTTGTTTTACCCAGGCATTTCATATTATCCACATATATTTAATGAGCAACTTCCACGCTACTCTCTAACAATAACATTATTATCTCTACTGATATATTTATTTCAAAGGCTATAGTATCAAAGACCTTTCTTCTTCATCATTCGTTTAAACATTTCAACTTTATCATGAACAATATGTCTCCTATGTTTCCATTTTGTATATTTATTATGTTCTAATAAACCCTTATAAATATAAAATTTTTTTTTTTTTGCTAAAAATTTGGTCAGAAGATCGATGGTAAGAGTTTCCCCTTACAGCCAATTCTTTACTATCCACCCAAGCATATGACGAATTAGTTTATATTGTCTGTCAACCAACAGTTTGGAAAGATGACATTATACCAAATAGCTGATGATTTGACAGAGGTTACCTTTACTTCCAATATATACTACAATCTCAAAAAACTAATATTTCTAACAAGAAAATGCCATCAATATTCAAAGAAACTGGGGAAGCATATTACTTGTCCATTATGGATACCATTCATCATATTTTGAACAATCTTTCATTATTAGGTAATATGTACCTTTCAGTTGACCAGACCAAGAAGTTAAAAGAACCAAGAACATCTCTTTGATTTCTTCCGATCTACAAGTTACTGAAAGAAGCATATACCTCAAAGAAACGTGAAACTGTCACTATTAGTGAATATTCATGAAGAATTGGAGCTAGCATATGAAGATTTCAGAGACAGCCCTGTGATACTTAACAACACGCCATCATATTTTGAGTATGCAAGTTTTGTCTTTGAAAAAGAACAAGGCAGTACTATTCTACACCATTTACATATCGGGAATGTAATTTTTGAAACGTTACTAATTTCTCTTATGAAATTTAGATCAAAATCTAATATTAGTTCTATCGACCCCATTGACCCCATTGACCCCTATTGGCTTATCTTTTTCAAGCTGAACCAAACTGAATGCTTCGGAGCATCAAGTCAAGCCAAAATCTGACCCATTGGTGTGGTTCAGTTCAGTTCGGAAATGGCTTGGACTTAACAACATTAGGTTTGAGAACACAAATTGGATAAAGCCACCAATATATAGATTACGAGCAAAAAATAGCTGGAGAAAGATTAGCGTGGTTAATGTAGTTAATAGTGTACATTTCATTCACAATTGTAAAGAATAACGAATGTATTGGTAATAGTCACGATCTTAAAAATGATATGTATATTCAAAATATGTATTATTTCAGGGCTGTGTAATATTAGTTATTAATTATTTAAAGTTTCAAAAATAGTACTTTTACAATTTTCATAATATCAATTTATTAAATTTTTAAAATTTTGATAATAAATTTTTAATAACCATAATATTAATTTATTTAATTTCGATAATACTAATTTAAAATTTCGATAATATTAATTTATAATTTTGATAATATAAATTTAAAATTTCGATAATATTAATTTATAATTTTGATAATATAAATTTAAAATTTAGATAATATAAATTTAAAATTTTTTATTAATATATTTATGGCTTCGAAATGAAATCGATTAAAATAAACTATCGATCGTCTTAATATGCAGTAACTGCATCTTGAAGAATTTTAATTAAGTCGAAACTGAGTTTTGACCATAACTTTACTTTATATTTAATATGAACATGCGATTTGGTCAAGATTTGGTTTCAATTTAAAAAATTTCTGCAAAGACAATTTGCCAAGAATTATGAAAGATATGTTTGATAACTTAGAGTTAAGATTTCTCTATAAAGGAAAAAACAAATTACAATTATTTATTGTCAGAATTCAGGTGCAATGATTACTCCAACTTGGATATATGTAAAGAGATGTTGTTATTATATGTTTCGCTTACATTATTCTAGATATATATGACAGAAATGAGGGTTTAATTCATAAAAATGAAAGATATCTCAAAATGTTCAATCTACAAATATTATTCACAACTTTTAGTTATCTCAAATGTGCATTATGAGTCATATGGAACGTCTGAGTGAGTTTTGATTTTTTTACACCAGAATAATGACATTGAAAATTTCTGATTATTATTTCATTAATAATTACAGGGCTTGGTTAACTCCTTGATTTTAAAATTTAATACAACTGATGATGGATTTAAAACTCCATCTATGATATCACCAGTAAATAAAAAGACAAAGCAGATACCACCTAAATGCACTGGTCAAAATCAAAACTTTTGGTTATATGAGTAATCAGCAAAAGTTTGGCAGATCTGTTATACATTTTGGCTTAATTTTGGGTTACTAAAAATCATCCAAATTTTAACATATATGATTTATGGTCAATTTATAAAAATTGTCAGACATGTGATATTTGATTATGTTTGGAATAAAGTTTGACGTGAAGCAATTTATTATTATGATTAGTTATTAAGCATTTCATAATTACGATCAGTTATTAAAGTTTTAGTTTTAATAAAGCAAAATAAAATATATTCCAAGTTTTCAACTTTGAAGTTTTTCTTCAAAATTTTATTTACTAATATTTCTTTAAGATTGCCTGCCAATTATAATCTGTAGTTCACAGATTTTTATTTGATTTAAATCGGATAATCAAATTAGATAATTTTTTTTTTACTTTCACATGGTGAGTTTTGTAATATTTTATTATAAAGTTCAGTTTTTTTTTAAAGGAAATGTTATATTATTATATTAATATTTCCATTTGTAAGAATCCCCTTCAGATAAACAGGGTAAGTTTTAAAGTTTTAATAACTTCAAAATCTTGAACTTTTTGTTTAAAGAAATGATGTTTACTTCAGTTCAGTTAGATTCCAGGATAAGTTTGAATAAAGTTTCATAATGTTACAAAACTTTTTTTAGTTTTTTTAAAAAAAAAACCATTATATAACTTCTTTTTTTTATTTTGTAGGGTTCAGGTCAGATTTGAATAGGAAAAGGTGAAGTCCTTTTTTTTTTTATACCTTCTGCCCAAATTTTTAGCAGAAGGAAAAACGTCTTTTACGAGTTTTTTCTTTTTTTATTATTAATAAAACCCAAATAAAAAACTTCAAAAATGGAGTCAGCATACAAATTTACAGAATATAGATATAGGTTTCTAAAAGAAACAAAAAATTTTTCTAGTGCGGACTCACGAACTATGGTAAAAGGCCAAGAAAGAGCACGAAGAGACTCTAGTCTCAGTAAAACAGAACAGAACTTCCTGGAGTCAATACGGAACGACGCTGTACGCAGAAAAGAGACTATACAAGAAATAGTTTTAAAATGTTCAGCAACGTCTTTCGACGTCTATATAGACAAAATTAAAAGACTCTCATGGGAAAATTCAAAGCTGCGAGAAGAACTGCGGCAGAAAGATCACATGATGGACAAGAAAGGCAAGTTGGAGAAAACACAGGAACGAATAATATCACAGAAAAATGAGCAAATAAGGAAAATTTCACAAGAAGTAGAGAAAACGAGATCAGAGGTAAAAAAGGTTAAGACTGATATCAACAAAGAATTTGATCAGCTGAAGAAATCCAAAAAAGGCAGATCGACATCAAACAGGAGAAAACGGGAAGAAATTTTAGAGATACCAGTTTTACCCGAAAATACCAGTAATTATCAGCAGTTTAAGGAGGCACGTGATATATTTTTCTACGATATACCAAAATATTGGAGCGAGGATGACGTAAGAACAAATCTGATGAAGATTGGAACAGTTTACAGACTGCAAATTCGAGGACAATACAAATACAAAACCGTTAAGGCAAAAATCACTTTGAACGAAAATTTTGAAAAAACGTTCTTGGATGGACATTTCGGTATTTGTATTAGCAAAAACTTTATCAGATGGTACAACGCGAAACTAGGTTTGAAAGGACGACAAGAACGGGATCAATGGCAGACTGTGAGAGACCTAACTAACGAGGAAATGGAATCCATAAAGAAGGGAAATACATACGACTTCACGAAAAAACTGCAACAAACCTCCAAGACAGCGTTCATCAAAATCATCAAAATCACAAAAAATTGGAAAGTGATTGGATATTTTAAGAACCTCAAAGCAATGGAAGAAGCAGTGGAGGATTCATGCACACAAGGAGATATCAACAGAGTTTGGCTTGTGAGAAATAAGAAGACGATATATAAAGACGGTGATGCAAAGACAAGGGCGACGAAAGTATAAGAGAAGATAATCAAAGATAAGGTTATAGATACGGAAAATAGAACGAGATCTCCTATACGGCTGGCAAGTGAACCGAAGTCACCCATCACACCACCGGAGAGAATTTATAGAGAATTAGGAAACTTCGCCTCACGAAAAGAAAGCTTATTACATCCATCAAAAGCGGATAATCCACTAAGGATAAGCAAGACACCAGACAAAAATGAAGTTGTCGAGATGATCAAAAATTGGAGAGTAGGAGAAGAGAGTACTCCAGACCATAATGACACTTCGGAAAAAAAGGGGGACAACAATTGAAGAAAGATAATGTAGCGCCTGAAGAAGTGGTTGAAATCATAAAAGATTACAGAACAACGAATAGAATCAAATACGTTCAGTATCAAGAATCAACCAACGATGGAAGTTTGGTAGACAAATTGAAGGAAGTGAAAGATATCTTCAATCAAACGTCCAATGCAATGGAATGGGAAAAATTAATGTCGAGGCCGTAGACGAATTACGCAAGGAGCATGGGATAAAAAATTGGGACGAAGCAAAGAATTGGGCCTTGGAAAAAAACAATTTTTTCCGTTTAGGACAAAAGATTATAAGTTTAGCGGAAAAATCAAAAATATTTGAAGAATATACTACCCTAAACGATAATTTTAAACAAAGATTGGAGAACGAAAATCACTACCAAGATGAAAAGAAGACTGGCGAAAAAAGACCAATATTAGAATCGCCGAGTAAGTGGAGTGACATAGAGGATGAAGAGGAGAGGAACAAGGCTTTCAAGGCATTTTATTTAGAAAAAAGGCAAAGAGAGCAGCTGATCCCTTCCCCTTCCACAAACGAAGACAAAGAAGGAGACGAGGAAGAAGAAGAAGAAGAAGAAGAATTAGAAACTAAGGCATCACCATCAAAGAAGAACAGTGGAAAGAAAAAGAAGAAGAAGAAGAACAACAAGAAATGAAGAGTGAAGGACAATATTTACGAGGAGAAATGAATTATATTTTTAATCGAAGTCACGTGATTCACGCTAAAAAAGATTCCGATAACAAAAATTCACAATAAAATGTATTTTATTTCGAATCGTTCAATTTAGTTTTAGAATACTAACTTTTATTTTTTGTAGGTATAAGGGGGATTTGGTGGAATATAATGTTTGGGTGTGAGACCGTTGGGACTCATCTTCTTGAAGCTGCATAGGGCAGACCTGGACGCTATTACGCATTTCACTTTTAATCCTACACTTTAAAAATTAGAATTCAAATAGTTAGGTTTCAAAAATTAAATAGTCTGTTAGTTTTAGTTTATTTTATTTTTATCAGGTATTGTATTTATTTTATTATTTTTCTGTAATGCATTTTAGTAGTATAGTTCGGAATACTCTGTTATAGGGTTAACATGGTGTATAAACACTGTCTCTTATACACATCTAGATGTGTATAAGAGACAGATTTCAAACAAAGATTGGAGAACGAAAATCGCTACCAAGATGAAAAGAAGATTGGCGAAAAAAGACCAATATTAGAATCGCCGAGTAAATGGAGTGACATAGAGGATGAAGAGGAGAGGAACAAGGCTTTCAAGGCATTTTATTTAGAAAAAAGGCAAAGAGAGCTGATCCAATCCCCTTCCGTGAAAGAAGACAAAGAAGAAAACGAAGAAGAAGAAGAAGAAGAAGAAGAATTAGAAACTAAGAAAAGGTGAGTTTGGGGATGAGTTTGAATACAATTACAAAACTTTATTCTTTTTGAAAGAAATGTTATACTAACGCTTCCTTTTTTGTAGATTCTAGAACAGGTCTACAATATCACCCATGTCTGCCACCTGTGGATAAATAATATAATTATTTCTTTTCAAATGTTTTCAATGAAACATTAATATTTTCTTGCTTGGTTTAGATTTATTTCATATATTCCTTTAACTTTCAAACTTCAATAGTTTCACTTACAAAACTATTCATAATTTCTATTTTCAGACTTGAATGGTTTCCATTCTTTATCACTTTATAATTTTTTTTTTATTTTTATAAAAGAACATTTCTAACGTTCTTTTCTTCTTTTTTTTAAGTTTTTGGCTTCTGAACAGAATTTCAAAGGTAATACTTTAAAATTCTATTCTTATTTTATTTAAATGAAATATTAGCTAATGTTTTGGTTTTATTTTTGTAATTTTTGGCTTTCTGGACACCTCTAGGATGAAATTTTGAAAGTAAAACCTTCAAATTTTTAGTTTTCTCTTTTTATTTAAACGAACATTCACTAATGTTCGTACTTCTTTTTTTTAGGTAAAGGAAGCCAAAAGACAAGTTATGGACTCCCATATCAAAGGTAGTAAAACTTTGATTTTTTTTTTCTTTTTTATTTAAATGAATGTTCACTAACGTTTATTTTTATCTTTTTTTTGTAGGTCCAGGACATCGGCTCTCCTGGACGGGAATTTTAAAGGTAAATGTAACAAGACACATGGTAACGTACACTGGTCAAATAAAAAAGCATCAGCATATTAAACATCAAGTAAATATTGGATCATATTGGAAAATTGAAATTTGTCTGATATGCCTTAAATATAAGGCAAGAATCGATATGCTTATTGTGCATAATATTACATCATATAGAAGCTGATATGTGTAATATTTATAATATAAAAAATTGGGTTTTTTCAATTTACCGATAAGTCCCATAAAGTTTTTGATATAGTATGATAGCATCTATAGAGTAATTTCATTTTAACTTCTGATTTATGAATATTTAATCAAATTTGCATTATTGATTTTTGCTCATTCGATATTTAACTTTTGAAATAATTAATTTTTGGCGTATTTTTAGTGAAACAATATAATAAATTAGCTGTAAAAATTACGAAATTATAACGATTTATTAATTTTTTTTATTTTTTTTCATTTTTCTTTCCAACCAATCAGAATTATTTCAGTTCCCCTTTTTTTTTAATTTCCATTTTTTTTTCTTGAACCGATCTTTTACTTTTGGTTCTTTTTTTTTCAAATTTCGTCATTTCTCTTTTGAAACACTGACTCCTTTTTTCTTTCTTTCATTTTTTTTTCCTCTTTCTTTCTTTTTTTTTGTTTTTTTTTCATTCTTTCTCCATTTAGATTGTTTTTTTTTTCAAAACCGAAAATTTTCATCCTTATTCTTTTTCCCAATTTTCTTTTTCTTTTGAATTTTGAATTTTTATTTATTTGTATTCAAGGGATACACTTCATGTATCTGGTTTAATAAAAAGATTTCAGCGCCAAAAAATCACGTGATTAATTTCCCCAAGTTAAAAATAAACGTATAATTTAGTGAAACTGACTAAATAATTCGTTATCTGTTATAACAAAAACACTTTTAAATTAAAAATTTTAATCGTGAGAATAAAGTGATTGTGAAACTTATTTCAATTTAATACAATCATATGATGGCAAACTTTATCGAATAATCCTATCACTCAATATAATATACAAAGATAAGAGATAATGTAAATGATGAGAAAAACTTTAACTTAATTTAAATAAATAAAACCAAAAGATGGAAAACTAACTACTTTAATAAACTAAATAATAATCTTTGATTTGAGAGATAAAATGAGTTTGTTGAAAACGTTTTATTACAGTATCCATCTCCAGTATATTCTTGTTTGCAATATTTACACAGCATAATTCGATAGATAAATTTAGAAAACTTTATTAAATGGTTAATAAACTCAACAGCAGCAGAAAAAGCTGAATGTTACCTTGAAACTTTTTTTTTCTGATTTACGTTTTCCCTATTTACACATTCACGACATAAGTATCTAAGTAGTTTGTTGTTACATTGTACGAAAAAAAATCATTTTTTGAAAAAAAATATCTTACTAATTAATATGAAAAAAAAAAAATTCCCAGAAAAATTAATTATAACGATGAGAAAGAAAAATTTCCCAGAAAAATTAATTATAACGATCCATTGTTACAAATAATAAATAAATAAGTATGTTAGTCTATTATTGAGCTTTATACAAAAAAAATATTTTTATTATTAATAAGAATCGGGAAAAAAAACAACTGCTGTGTCGCCGCAACATTGATCTGATCACCAGTCCAAACCTAAATGGTGAAAGAATGTATTCAGAAAAAAAAATTCGGTTTGAAAAAAAAAGCCAAACCGAAAAAGGAAAAGGGAAAAAAATTTTCGGTTGAAAAATAAAAATGAAAAAAAAAATTTAGGTTGAAAAAAGAAAAAATTCGAAATAAAAAGAAAAATAAAATTTGGGGAAAGAAAAAGGATAAAGAAAGAAATCGGTTTAAAAAAAAAATAAGTACCGAAAAAAATTTTGAAAAAAGGACAATAATAATTCAGTCCAAAAAGACCGAAAAAAAATTTAAAAAAAAATTAATAATATGGTCTAAAAAAAAGTCTTAAAAAGCAGTGTTCGGAAATGACCTGGTCATTTGACCTTTTAAATGATTTATGAAATCATTTGTCATTATTCATAATTATTTGTCATTTGGTCATTTCAATCATTTGATTTTGATTGGCTAATATTTATCACATAAATAATCATGTGACTATAATTAAAAAATAAGGAATGTAGTGTAGGCAAAAATTATAGTGCTGGCCAAAATTACATTCAAATGACTAAGGTCATTTGTCATTTGAGCATTGAAATGACATGTCATTTGTCATTTGTCATTTGAATCATTTGGTCATTTCAAGTCATTTGCCGAACACTGTTCTAAATAACATATGTAAAATCAGCATTGTATATAGCAAACTCCCTATGGTTAGTATTGGTAGTACCACTTTCGCCGGCGTATATCTATCTGGGTAAATTATATCCCGATTAAATTTCGGAAAAAACGTCACATATAGTTAGTAATTCAAAAAAGGTTTCTTTGAAATAATAATAAATATGCAAAAAAATAAAGATTATCCATTGATAATGCATTAAGACAATTAATAATCTATCAACTATTTATCACACTAATACATAATTTTAAACAATATGGTATGTGACAATTAATGC